GTACCACACCCAGTTTGACACACTTTTTCGGGGGTGAGCAATCAGGGTTTAAATCTAGGGCCTCATAGAGGCCAGGCAAGCACTCAACTGAGCGACAGTCCCAGACCTCTTTGTATTTTGAGTCAGGGTCTTATCAAGTTGCCCCAGCAGTCTTGAGTTCACTTGGTAGCCCGAGCTGTGCTTTTTCCAGCCTCAGTTTTCCCAAGTAGCTGTGATTACAAACCTGTGCCACCAGACATAGCTTAGCATAGAGAGACTTTTTAAGAATTATTATAAAGTTAGTGTTAACAAAAAGACTGGGGAGCCGGGCAGTGGTGGCGCACGCCTTTAATCCCAGCACTTGGGAGGCAGAGGCAGGTGGATTTCTGAGTTCGAGGCCAGCCTGGTCTACAGAGTGAGTTCCAGAACAGCCCTGGCTACACAGAGAAACCCTGTCTCGAAAAAACAAAACAAAACAAAACAAAACAAAAAACAAACAAACAAACAAACAAAAAATCACAAAAAACAAAAAGACTGGGGGATACATATATGTAAATGAAACTAAGTCAGAGAATGTTTAACAACTCTCATTAACATTTGTGGTGATCTCTTCTACTCCTCTGTGAATGAATCTGTGGTTCGCACATTACTTTGAAGTTAGCATACAACATACCTACCTAACCTCACAAGGACACCGTCCTTCTGTAAACAGCTCACATTGCTGTCAATTACAAGCTATAGAATATTCCACCCAGCAATTATACCTAATAATTTCTGCCATAAAAATATTTCTTAGGGGTGAAGGAAGGCTTAGTTAGCAAAGTGATTGCCGCCTAAGTATGAAGACCTGCTTTGGATCCTTGATACCTATCCAAAGAGCTGAGCTTGGGAGGAGTGTGTGGCTGCTGAGGCTTGCTGGCCAGCCAGTCTAGCCACAGGGTGAGCCCTGGGGTCAGTGAGATAGCATGTCTCAAAAAATAGAGGTCGATAGAGAAGACCCTGAGGTTGATCTGTGGCCTCCACACGTGCACACACACACACAGACAATAAATGCTATTTAAAGTTCAGATGTAAAAGGCAATAAATGACCGTCCCTTTTGGCATATTCTCTTCTTACTAGTGAGACAGAAAATGGCCTAGGCTTACTCTGTGCCCTTCAGTGATTTATTAGGTTCTTGGTATAAATTTTATGTGTTGTTTATATTATAAAAATATTAAACTGTTTTCATCATTGTTGTCCTCTTCCTCTTCCTCCTGCTCTTCCTCTTCCCCTCCTCCTTTCCCCCCTCCTTTCTTTTTGAGACTAGCTCTCATTTTGTAGCTCAGGCTACAGATTGCTACAACTTGTGGCAACTCTCCCGTGTTAGCCTCCCAAATGCTAGGATTGCAGGCGTGAGTCACTAAGTCTGGCTAAGTACTTCTCCAGTCTGAAGTTTGTTTTTGACTGTTTACCATGGTTTAGAGAAGGGTAAATTATACTTTTTTCCCTTCAACAACAAAAGTGAAAGAAATTTTTTATTTTTACAAACCACCTTGTCCATCTTTCCTTTGTGGTTTCTCTTATTTCCTCGTATCTTAGAAAACCATTCATCCCTCCAATAAATCATTCTCCATTGGGCTACAGAATTGAAGGAAGGACTGGGCTTGTATGTCAGCAGTATGGCATTGGTCTAGTATGTGCAAGGCCCTGGACTCCAACTCCAGGGAAGGAGGAGGGGGAAGAAGAAAGGGAAGAAAACAATTGAAAAAGAAATAATGTAGAAGAACTGATTTATCTTCCCATGTTGTAGAACAAGGAAGAAAATATCGTATCTTCTTTTTCTGCATGTATTTGGTTTTCCGTGACTGTTCACAGAAAGTAGTTGATACAGGAATTAAGTGTATTCATGCACATCCAAAACACTGGAAGAATAGGTACCAAAGACTCACTCTGGTTATCTGTGATCAACAGGTGGAAGACTCAAGTGGATTCCTTGCTTCTGCCTGCTCAGTACTTTTCCTTTGGGCCAGGTACTTCTCTCGTGTGTGTACCTGGCTACCTATGGTGCTTTGTTCCTCTGCCAACATTCTGGAGGTCAAGAGTAGCTACATCACTCAATTACTCAGAGAGACCCAGGGACTCAAGAGTCCCCCACCAGGTAGAGAATAGCATTCTGTGTGGAAAAGAAGTCAACATGGAAGAGGAATCAAGACAGGAGAGGAGAGAAGGCAGCTGGATGAGCTCAGCATCTCTGGTTCTAGTCTCCGAGACCCTGGTCCTTAGAGCTGGCCTCTGATCGGTATTAGCTATGGTTCAGAAAGGTTTAAGACTGTGACTGTAACACTAAGGAGGTAGAAGCAGAAGTCAGGAGTTTAAGGTCATCCTCAGACTGCATAGCAAGTTTGAGGTCAGCCTGGGCTACACGAAACCCTGTCTCAACAAAATTAATAGTGGGGTTGGAGACATGCCTCAGTGGTTAAGAACACTTGTTGCTCTTGCAGAGGACTTAGAGCCAGTTCCTAGCACCCACACAGAGGCTAACTACAGTTTCAAGGTAATATGATGTCCTCTTCTGGCCTCTAAGTACACTACACACACGCGATACACTTAGATACAGGCAAAACACACCCATACACATAAAATAAAAATAAATCTATAAAAATAAGTTTAAAAGAAAGGTTAGAAAAAGTGAGGGCTGGCAAGATGGATCAAGAGTTAAAGGCACCTGGTATCAAACTTGGTAGACTTAATTTGACCTTTAATCCCTGGAACAAAACCCACCTAGTAAAAGGATAGACTCAACTCCTGAAATTGTTCTCTGACCTCTGCATATATAGACATAGACATAGACATAGACATAGACATAGACATAGACATAGACATAGACATAGACATAGACACACAGACACACAGACACACAGACACACACACACACACACACAGAGAGAGAGAGAGAGAGAGAGAGAGAGAGAGAGAGAGAGAGAGAGACACACACACAGAGTATAATTCACTTTTTAAAAGTGAGAACACCTAAATATCCCCAGAAAAGCATTAAAAGCAGGCAAAGAGTAAGAACATAAAAGTTGTGCAAATGGAGACTGGACAGATGGCTCAGCAGTTAAGAGCACTTGCTGCTCTTGCAGAGGACCCAGGTTTGGTTTTCAATACCCACAAGGTGGCTCACAATCACTTGTAATTCCTGTTCCAGATGATCAGATACACTCTCCCAGCTTCCAAGGGCTCCCGCATGAGCATGGTTCACATATATACACTGGCAGGCTCACACACATAAAAAAGTAAATGAATCGTTAAAAAAGTTGTACTGGTCTTCAGTGGGACACTTTATCACCCAGTAGCGTTGTCATAGAGATAAACACAAAACTGTACTGACACAACTCCCTGGCTCAGTAGTATGTTGGATGGGTGTTGAGGAGACTAGAGGTATGGTCCTAGGTCAGAAGTGGGTTAGCACTTTGAGATCCTGGGATGTGAGGGGAGAAACACCTCTTAGTCTCTGATCCTGGTCAAATTGGGCCTTTTCTTTGTGCCCTGGTTTATACTGAATCTTTTTCTCATGTTTTATTTTGTTTGTGTATTTCTGTATGTGAGTGTGCAAGTCTATGGAAGCCAGGGGAGGATGTCAAATGTCTTGCTATCACTCCCTGCCTTACTCCCTTGAGACAATGTCTCTCTCTGAACCTGGAGCTAGGCTGGTGGCGTGTTCCAGCATGCTACCCCACAGTTCTGGGGTTGCAGGCGCACACAACCCCTCCAGCTTTTTACATGTGTTCTGAGTATTTGAACTCAGGTCTTGTGCTTGAACAGCTTACACACTGAGCCATCTCCACATCCTCTTGTTGCGTCTTTTCTTCCTTCCTACCCTCGGAGGAGAATCTCCCCAGTTTGCTTAGAACATTTGACAGTGCACCCATCTCTGCCTCTGAAGTTCTAAGATTGTGTCAGGCATCACACCAGCTTGTTTTGAACTACTGTTCTAAGTACTGCACACCCATTACACAGAACTCTCAAGAGAATTCTGAGATGGTAGTTAATAAGTCCATATCTCAGGGAAGAAACTGAGACTCAGAAAGGTAGAGCATGTTAAAAGGGTGGACAGACTTCAAAACCCTTCTAGCAATCTTAGTTGTCTTCTCAGACCTGATCATTCCAGGACAAAGTAGGGCCAAACTGGGAGAAATAGAGGTTGAATTCAGGAGGGAGAGCTGCCCTAGGTAGGCCAGGTTACCTCCTTTGCCTGGCTCCAGGGCAGACCTACCTCTTATTCCTGCCAGTTGATTCCCCTTCTAGCCTGAGCTCAACTTATTCCCAAAGAGCCTTGCATAAACTAAGCAGGGTCAGAGCCCTTGGCCCCAAGCCTACAGCCCCAGGAACAGATTTGCTCCACCCTCCCCACCCTGGCTCCCAGCCATGGGTCACATGGCACTTTGGTCCTCTTTGGCCTGTTTCCTTAAGAATCCAGATTTAACTCCACCTCCCCCTTTTCACCTCTCTTCCTTAGTTTTTTTGAGCAGTACCTTGAAAGTGTGTGGGATAAAAAGCCTCAGCTCTGTTTTGCTGGCGTTTTGTTTTGGTGGGACCTCAGTTTATCTGCCTATTAAATGGGACCTTACAGCTTTTCATCAGCCCCTTACTAGTCTTCTGAGTCTTTCACGGGTCCAGCTCCATTTAACAGGAGGGTGGGGAGAGAACGGGTAGGAATCCTAAGGCAGGTCCCAGAACCGTTTTGAAAACAATTCCAGGTTCAAACTGGCCAGCCTCTGGCATCTCATGAATGTTGGTTCAAAAATCATCTGATTCTAACTGTTGATTTCAAGACATCTGTGGACCTCCCTTGTCTCCTGCTGACGACCAAAGGGCAAGTAAGCATACTGGAGGGCCTGGAATAGAACAACTGGGCCCCCTTCTCCAGTCCAAGAGAGTGTTCTTCCCTAGTCCCCAGGTCCTCTGCCGCAGGCTCCTCCTCCATTGACATCAGAGCCGCAGGCGGGCCGAGGGAGCGGAGCCCCAGCCGAGCGCCAGCGACTGAACAGGCAAACTGACCAGGCACAGACGCTGTAGGAGCTCCGCACCAGCCACCTCGGCCCTCCCTCGCAGCCAGCCCCGAGGCGGGGCAGCCAGCCGCAGGTACAACTGAGAGCCTCCCGGGGAGCTCCAACCACAGGGTAGTGAAACCCAATGGTGCGAGGGGCACCTGGCCCCTGGACGGAATAGGGTTGGGCCTTTCTCTCCCACCTCCATCCTAGGCTCTTTAGGTGCTAGGTGACCTCCATGGATATTGCCTAGGAATCAGAAAAGGGTCTCTGTGTGCGTGCGTGCGTGTATGTGCGTGTGTGTGTGTGGGCGCGTGTGTTGTACGTCCAAGTGCTAGGCCTGACTGTGGAAGGGCGTGGGCATTTGGAAGTGCAGATGGGGGAGGGCATGTGAGGGGTTCCCTGAAGCAGGAATGTGCTTCAGTTGTGTAAAGGTATCTGGGGATTCATTTTTGTTGTTGTTGCATATGGTGTTCAAGGATATACACACACTGGTGTCTCCCTTGCAGGGTAGTAAGTCAGAGTTGGGGGGAGGTTTGGTCTGGCTCTGAGGGTGTTTAGTTAGATTGTTAAAGCTTGGTTTGCTGTGTAGGGCACTGGGCTGAGGAGTTGGAGGGCATAGACATGACTGAAGTTGCCACATCTGGTATGTGGGAACAAATGCCACCTTTTTCATGTGTGCATGGAATCAGTACTGTAGTGTAAGGGTCTGGGAGAGGGGTGGATGAACATGTGTGTTGATGTCTGGGTATATGTGCACAATCAGGTGTCATGGTGTGCCGTGTGCTGGATCTAGCAGGAAGGTGTCTGGGCTCAGGATTCATGTCCAGTGCTGATGTGGAGTATCTGCTGCAGGGTGTGGGACTGTGAGGGTCGTTAGTGCTGGCCTACACTGAATTTACCATTGCCTCCTTCATCAGAAAACTCTGGCCCTGGGAGAACTGGCCAACGCTCTGGGAACAAGGTCCCACCCAAGGAGTGGAGTCTCAGTTCTGGTCAGGGTGCTTTCTCTTCATCCTTCCCAAAGGAAACAGGAGGTTGCCTTCCCAGAGCTCTAGGGCATGAGGGGCTCTGTTCTGGCTTCAACCTCTAGTTCTAGATTCTGGGAGGCTGACTTCTCTGAGTGATCCCCAGTTTAGCTTTCTACTGGACCAACAGATGACAGCCTTTGTCCTTGGTAAGCTTAACTGGGAGTTTCTTGGGCAACTCTGGACCCATCCTATCCATCTCCAACCTCAGTTTCTGAGATTTCTCACATGATACATGGGGAGAGAACCCACCCTCTCTTGGAAGATGAGACAGCTCTCCAGGGAAAGGTCCAAGATAGGTCCCCTTCCGGAGGGGACAGCCAGGTGAGATCAGTTTTCAGGCTGCTGGGACACAGGGAGTCAGGAGGGCTAGGTCCGGGGAGTTCCAGCTGTGGCTGATGTTGCCTTGGTAACAGTGAGAAGGAGCTATTTAAAAACGTGGCTGAGATATTGCTGGGAGCCCAGGCTGCCGGAAACCTGATTTCCGAGAGGCTAGGGCGGCGAGGAGGAGGGAGAGGACACCATAGCCCTTCCCAGAATGAGACCGAGGCATAACTGCTTCTGGGCACAGGGCTCGAGGGTGCTCTCTATGCTGCTTCTAGCTGCTCTGGGGTCTCACATGCTATCTTCCTTGAGGAGAGGTTTCCTTGGGTGTTAGGATTGAGAAAAAGACTGGGGCAAAATGGAGAATGAAGAATTGAAGGAATGCATAAATGCTGAGAATTTTGCTACCAGGAATGATTTTTTTCTTGGCATAAGAAGTTGCAAATATGCTGAATGAACAAATGATGGGGGAAGGCTGAATGCCTATTGTCAATGAACAGATCCAGGAATGAATGAACTCATGTTGGCTGAATGGTCATGGGACATGCAGTAGATTCTCAGAGAGGATAGGTCCTCAGAATCTCTCTTTTCTTCCTAGGAGCCCTGGCTGTGGCTGGGGGGCAGTGGGCCATGCCAGGGGCAGTGGAAGGCCCCAGGTGGAAGCAGGCAGAAGACATTAGGGATATCTATGACTTCAGAGATGTTCTGGGCACGTGAGTCTCAGGGTGGGGTGGTAGTGGGGTGACAGAATGAGCCTGATGGCTGGTGGGGCCGAGGCTGGGGCGATGCTTCCTCTGGTCTGATGGACACTCACTTCCTTCTTCCTACAGATGAGGGCTGACGGCAGCTTTGCCATAGTGCAGACTAGTCCAGTTTTTTTGGCTAACTGTGGGGAGAATGGGGCCTCTCTTGTACAGCCATGGGTTCTTTATGAAGAGAAGGAAGTACAGGAGAATAGAAAAACCATTTCTCTAGATTGGTGCCAAAAGCTGGCTATTCTGGCCTATGTTTGGAAACTGAGGCTGGGCATGGTTCCTCCTGATGGTGGAAATCCAAATATAACTCAAACCTGGTTTCTTCCTTTTACAAGTTGGTCCTAGAGACACAGACAGACAAACACAAAATGACAGGTGGATGCGTATTACACTCTTATTGAGGTTGTAGAGGCCACAGAAGTCTCCTCTGCCTGGGTAACACTCCCTGAAGGACATGAGACCTGGGGGGTAAAAGATAAGATGGGTAAGCTTGTGCTTGTCAGAAAGAAGGAAGGTAATTCAAGGCAGGTGGAACAGTGCATGTAAAGGCTCAGAAGCCAGGCTACTGCAGAAGGAGGCAGTCTGCTGGAATTCACAGGGTTGGGGAGACGTTCAAGCAGTAAGAAATGGAAAGGGGCAGAGAATGCAAGGCCTTGAGAAGAGGCTAAGAAGGCAAGAGGTCATTTCCCAGCACAAAGGGAGACCTTTAAGACTGCCTGTCAGTGCTGGAGATGGCTCAGCTGTTAAGAGCATTGGCTGGTCCTACAGAGGACTAGATTCAGTCCTTAGCACTGATGGTGGCTCACAACTATGTGTAACTCCAGAGTCAAGGGATCTGATGCCCTTTCCTGACTTTTGTGGGCACCAGGTATGTATGTGGTTCAGACATACATGTAGGCAAAACACTCATACACATAAAAAAACTAAAGCTGAAAAAAAGAAAAAGTAAAAAGGACTAGGCATCATGTGTGGGCGAACTGGAGAGTCAAGATGCAACCATGGTGAGGTTCTAAAGGGCATTACATTACCTACAACTCAAACTGAATCAATTACAGAGGTGGAGTCCAGGCTCAGCCGGCTCGCATGTTATCAGCCTGGCTTCCTTTGGTTGGCTTCAGTTTGGAGCAGGCTCACCCCAAGTACTGACAAAGATGGCTGCCATCCACTCTAGGCTTACATCCTACCAGCTTATTCACTCATTCACAGTGCCAGGAAGCTGTCATGTAAGTGACCAGTTACTGAGGTACTGAGGCAGGGGACAGACAACCCTGACTGGCCATGTCTGCCTTACGTGACCACCTCTGGAGCCAGGGAGAAAATGAGTGCTGAAGGACATAGGTGGTCATGGAGGCTACAGGGAATGGAGGAGAGGGTGAGAAGCTAGGGTTCTAGCTCACCTTGCAAACCTCTGACTCACAGGGGTGCCTTCTCAGAAGTGATCCTGGCAGAGGACAAGAGGACTCAGAAACTGGTGGCCATTAAATGCATTGCCAAGAAGGCCCTGGAGGGCAAAGAAGGCAGCATGGAGAACGAGATCGCCGTCTTACACAAGTGTGTGGGCTCTGTACCGAACCCTCCTCCTTCCTTTAGATCTTTAGATTGCTTTAGAAACCGTATGAATTCTGGGCCTTACAGGACAAGAACTTGGCGGGGAGTGACTGGCACTGAGTTAACCTTCCAGATGAGACTGAGGTGCTAGGGCTTGTTTACAGAGGATGAATCTGTTCATGGTGCCTCAAGGCCAGCCCACCATATAGATGGTCACCTAAGGCTCTCCCATACAGTAAAGCAGACTATTTGCTGACCCCCTGACTAAATCAGCAACCAACTGATAGGAAACCTGCTCATACTGCAAACCTTACAGCAAGCATTTGCTTCCAATGCCTCCCATCTCCTAACTATCTGGACAGAGAGGAGATGGTCACTTCATTTCCCTAATCAGGTGGGTGGGAAAGCCATGTCTTCCTTACCCCTAAGATCAATCACTGCTGGTTCATTTGTTGAGTACTGACTATGTAAGCGCTGTGCCAAGCACCCTCCTTGTCATGTGATCTTCATGTGACTTTTCTGAAGATCTGTTCTTTTATAGATGACATTCAGGCACAGAGAGGTTACATTCCATTCACCAAATACCATGAGCAACTACTCTGTACCTGGTCCTAGAAGACAGCTGAATTAGATATTCTACTTGAGAAGGTGACATCTGGTTCGGGGAGGTTAAAAGTATAAACAAGGAAAACTTAGAAGCCACATTCCCATCAGAGCTGCAAAGTGCAAATGCTAGCTTCCAAGTAGCATGTAGCAGAGGCAGCATATCCAGGCCCGGGTCTGTTTGACACCAGAGCCCAGTGCTTGCTTGCTGTTCTTTGCCCGGTGGGTTCCAGAACCTTGGTTCCTGCCTGGATGCAGGTGCCAGGGAATAGGTGCATCACCCTCAGCTTTGAACCACCTCATCTCTCCTTTTAGGATCAAGCATCCCAACATTGTAGCCCTGGATGACATCTATGAGAGTGGGGGGCACCTCTACCTCATCATGCAGCTGTGAGTGGCCTGTCTGCCCACCCTCATTCATGCCTCTCCCTGATGCCCTACTCTCTCCGCCACTTTCTGGTCCTTTGCTGCAGGGTTTCAGGTGGAGAGCTGTTTGACCGAATTGTGGAGAAAGGATTCTACACGGAACGGGATGCCAGCCGCCTCATCTTCCAGGTGCTGGATGCTGTCAAGTACCTGCACGACCTAGGCATTGTGCACCGGGATCTCAAGGTGGGATCTGAGGGGCCTAGTGAACTATATGCACCAGAGGGAGGAGGGGTTCCGTCTCTCTTTGGGTACCTCTCAGCCTCAGCTTCCCATTTGCAAAATGAACTACTTGTGACCCTCCTAACCAGCTCCTCTTATTCTAGCTTAGACAGGGACACAAGGTAGGCTGGGCTGCTATTTTACCTTAACAACTTGTAAGTCTTTTTCTGATAATGAAACATCCTACTTACTCTTTGTAGAGAACAGGTAGGACAGCAAAGCTTCAGAGAAATGCATAGGGGCTTGTGTTAAAAACCATTTCCGTCCAAGCCAGTGGTGGTGCGCAGAGGCAAGGCAGATCTTTGAGTTCAAGACCAACCTGGTTTTCAGAGTGAATTCCAAGATAGAGTCACACAGAGACACCTTATCTCAAAAAACAAAACAAAACAAAACAAAACAAAACCCAACCCTTTCAGTCCAGGATATAAGCAAGGGCTCTGGGATATAACAGGCCTTGGTTTGAAGACTAGACTTGCCATGCCCTAACTGGCTCTTGGGCTAATCACTGCCTCTAAAGGCATTGGTCTTCTCATTGGCAAAGTTGGCTTATTCAGAATGGACAAGCTGCCTATGTGGAAGGGTTGAAATCAGTCAAGTACTTACCCAAGATCCAGCATAGGAGGTATAAAATCTTTTGTAATACTGGGATTTTGTAAGGTTTCTGAATTCTATGAAAATCCTTCCTACAACTCCTTGGCTGTGTTTTCTAGAACTTACAGTCTTCTAGCAGTAAACACTAGTTAGCTTCTTATGGATTTAGTGAGCTAGTCACAGTGGATTTTAGGGAAGCCTATGGCGCTGCTAGCCTCTGGCTACCCCTGGCTACCTCTGACTACTCCTGACTACCTCTGGCTACCGCTGACTACCCCTTCTCCTCTTTCCTACCCTTCAAGCCAGAGAACCTGCTGTACTACAGTCTGGATGAAGACTCCAAAATCATGATCTCTGACTTTGGCCTCTCCAAGATGGAGGACCCAGGCAGTGTGCTCTCCACAGCTTGTGGGACTCCAGGATATGTGGGTGAGGAGGGTCCTAGGTTGGGGCTGGGGATAAGCAAAGAGCCAGAAGCTGTAGGGTAGACATTTGTCATCATCATGTCCCTTCTCTCCACAGCCCCTGAGGTCCTGGCCCAGAAGCCCTACAGCAAGGCCGTGGACTGCTGGTCCATAGGAGTCATTGCCTATATACTGTGAGTGGGGACATGGTCAAGGTAGCCTGTGGCTACAGCTGTCTTCCCTGCTTTGCCCACTCCTTCTCTGTATCTACCAGATAAATACTAAAAGGCAGGGGTCGGAAAGATGGCTCAGGCGTTAAGAGCAACTGCTGCTTTTCTGGAGGATCCAGGTTCAATTCCCAGTACTCACATGGCAGCTCACAACCATCTCTAACTCTAGTTCCAGAGGGTGATCTGATGCCTTCTTTTGGTCTCTATGGGTACACATGTGCACACACATGGTGCATAGACTTACATACAGGCAAAATACACACACACACACACACACACACACACACACACACACCCCTATATATATAAACACAAACAAAAAAGTCTCACAGGCTTCAATCAGGAGATACGGTTTCCAGCACTGTGTGAACACTGAGGAGTTAGCAGAAAACAAGACAACCCAGCCTGCCCGTAAGAGCTGACATTAGAATCAGTGAGTAAATACATCTATACAATAGTGTCACCTGATAAAAATCACTGTAAAGATAAAATCAAGCACGAGTAGGGAGATGAATGTCATTTCAGATAGTCAAGGGCTCTTTGTGGCGCCATGAGTGGCTTCTGAGTGAGTAAATGATCCAGTTTAGGTGTGGGGAGAATGTCAAACACGAAGAGCCTATGACAGCATGTTCACAAGACAGAAGGAAGGCCAGTACTACCAGATGGAAGTGAGCAAGACAGAGGACTTCCTGTGGTCCCGACTCTTGGCACTGCCCCCAAATGCCATCTCTAAGCCAACAAGTCTTCTTAAACCTGACATGAGTTCGATTTCTTTCCACCTAGGCTCTGTGGCTACCCACCCTTTTATGATGAAAATGATGCCAAACTCTTTGAACAGATTTTGAAGGCCGAGTATGAGTTTGACTCTCCTTATTGGGATGACATCTCTGACTCTGGTATTTGGCTCTTTGCCTTCTTCATCTGGCCCCTGCCTCAGGGGCCTTCTTCATCTGCTCCAGGGGTCTCCTCACTGTCTGGCTCTGTCATATCTTAGTCCCAGACTAGAAGTGGATGTCCTATGTCTTACCTTGGGTCCCCTCTGCTTGGCCCCTAATCTCAGCTATGTAGGCATTCAGTCTTCCAATACAGTATTTACAAAAATACCTCCCCTGGAGCTGACTGACTCCCTTAGGCTTAAACAGCATAAATATTTCTATCTTCCATTTTGTGTCCCAGTCAGGGACCAGCTTATGATGGCTGTACAGTGGTTTACACACTAGTGTGAACATACTGAGTGGATTCTTCTGTAATTATGTTCTCAAAAAAGGAGGGAGCTAGAAGGCTGGGGTGTATGGAGTGGGACACAGGCAGACTAGGGTTCTTGTCCAACCTTGTTAGGTGAGATGTGAGGGAATGAGCACTGTCTTGGTGTCCACAAGCATGGTCATGCTGTATCTCTGTTTTTCTCTTGGGGCTCCAGCCAAAGATTTCATACGACATTTGATGGAGAAAGACCCGGAGAAGAGGTTCACCTGCGAGCAGGCCTTGCAGCACCCATGGTGAGGGCTCCCACTCCAAACTATGTGTGATAGTGGGACCTGGGCCGGACCTGCCCCACCCTCACAAGCAACTCTGCATATGCCCATCCTAGGATTGCAGGAGATACAGCGCTGGATAAGAACATCCACCAGTCAGTGAGTGAGCAGATCAAGAAGAACTTTGCCAAGAGCAAGTGGAAGGTCAGCATACACCTTTAATCCTGGGTCTTCCCCAGACTCAACTTGCACAGTGCCCCATACCAACTGCATACAGGACCTGCCTGGGGAGGTCTTCCAAAGAATCTCTCCTGTTCAGTCAACAAAGGCTCCTGACCCCTAAAGTCCAGAGGTTCCTGAGCTCTATCTCCAGAGAGACATGATGTAGCCCATGGGACCCAAGAAGGGTCAGAAAGGTGGCCACAGACCTATAGTTGACTAGTAATTAACCATAGAGAATATGCCTGAGGTAGAGGGACCAGGAGAGCAAAGAGGCTAGGGTAAAAGAATGTAGCCTGCTGGACTAGAGGGGCTGAAGGAACTAAGGGAACTGAGTGTCGAGAGGCCAGGCTGGAGAAGCTGGTAGAGGCTGGGCCATTGAGGTCCTTGACTGCTAGCTACAGTGGGACACCCACCTTTTGTAGAGGATGACTCCAGAAAGACTGAAAGCAGGAGCTTGTCCTGAAGAAAGGATTTTTAAGATGCAGGGAAGCCTGAGAGGCCCGGCAGGATGTGTCATAGATGCAGCAAGAGGAACACAGGAGTGGGTGAAAGCAGGAGGAGACTGAGAAGAAACAAAGATGGGAGGCATACCGAGGGAGTGAGACGTCAAAGATGCCCAACCTCCTGGTTAGGGACAAAGTGGACAGTGGTACCATAACCATGATAGGGATCCAGGGGCAGAAACATGTCTTGAGGGGCTGATTGTAGCTTTGAACATGGTCATGAGCAGCACATAGGACATCTGGGTGAATATAAAACAACAGAAACAGGTAAATTATGTAATCTTTCTGCACCTCAGTTTCCTCCTTTGAAATTAACGCTATCCCAGCACTTGGGGAGGGTGTAGAAAGTTCAGGAACCACATGAAAACTTGTCTCAAAGCGTAGGTGGGATGCTTAGTTGGCAGAGTGCTTGCCTAGCGTGCATGAAACCCTGGGCTGGCTCACTAGCTCACACAAAACTGGGCATGGTAGGGTATATGCCTACATCCCAGGCCTCAGGAGATTAGAGGTAGAATGGAGGATTGTCAGGCTACATGAGAACCCATGTTAAAAAAAATTAACGATATTAATTGTGCTTGCCAGAGCCAGATGTAGTGACACACACCTTTAATCCCAGCACTTGGGAGTCAGAGGCAGGCAGATCTCCATGGGTTCCAGGACAGCCAGTGCTACATAGTGAGACCCTGTCACAAACAAAACAGTGCCTGCCATCCCTGGTGAGTAGCAGACATATGCCTGTAATCTCAGTACTCTAGAGACTGAGACACAATACACAGCAAGACTGTCTAAGAAGAGAAACAACACAAAAGTGCTGCCTCAGAGGATGCTGTGAGGATTTAGTGATGAATAACCATGCAATGAGCTCACAGCGGTGTAGACACACAAATGCTGATTACGTGGATTATAGCTTTATGTCCTTTGTATGCATTTTATATATGTGCTGTATGTATAACTGAATATAGTTTAGTAACACCTTCCAGAGTCTGGGGCGGACTTGGGGAGACTCCCAGTGCCGACCCTCAGCCCTTAAGGCCCCCTTTCAGCATTCCCCTCCCCTCTCCACAGCAAGCTTTCAATGCTACTGCTGTGGTTCGGCACATGAGGAAGCTGCAGCTGGGCACCAGCCAGGAGGGGCAGGGACAGACTGCTAGCCACGGAGAGCTGCTGACACCAACAGCTGGGGGTAAGAACTAGGGTCCCATGGAAGGGCATGAGCCCATGTGGTCTGTGAAGAAGCATAAGGCTGGAGCTGGAGTCTGCTCCATAGCCACCCTTGCCCTTTCCTTCCACACAGGGCCAGCAGCTGGCTGCTGCTGCCGAGACTGCTGTGTGGAGCCAGGCTCGGACCTGCCCCCTGCACCACCCCCAAGCTCTAGGGCCATGGACTGAACATCAAGGAAGTCAGGGTTTCTTCCATGGGAGGGGTTGGAGGCAGCCTTCCTCCTCACCCCAGAACTGGGGAGTTTCTGACCCCATACTTCTTCACCCCTCCCCTCTCACTCTTCACTGCGTTTTCCATACAAATGTTTCTATTTTATTGTTCCTTCTTGTAATAAAGGGAAGATAAAACAAGACAGTTCTGTTTTCTCAAATAGCTTCCTTGCCCCGTTAGACTGACTGATTTGGGGTGCTGGCCTTTCTGACTTGAGACTGGGTGGGGACAAGGAAGAGAAATGGAGAACAAAGAGGAAAAATATCAATGACATCTTTTGTCCCCTGGGCCCTACCTAGCCCTCTGGCCTCTTAGATCCCTTTTTGCGCTTTGCTGGTGGCTCCCGAGGCAGGTTTGGTTGGTGAAGGTCAGCACTGAACAGCACCTATGGGAAGGAGCGTAAGGAGTCTATGGGGAGCAGGGCATGCTGAGGTCAGGGCTGGGGTGGGGGGTGGGAGTCATTAGGACAGGTGGCTGAAGAGTGCAGGGACCAGGCAGGGTCAGGGAAAGTCCTTTAGGGCTAGGTATACTTACTGCTTGGGCCCAGCCGGCATAAGGTCCCCACAGATTCCGGAAAAAGTTTCCTAAATTAGAAGCGAGGAGACTACATTAATTGACCCACAGCCCTCCATGCACAGAGATGGGGATTGTGGGAGAGATGATAAAGAATTAGAGGTTCTCTAACCTCAGCCCAATGCCCCAGCATCCCACTCTCCTCACCCAGTTCTTTGTTGGCCAGAGGACTCGGGCCCTTAGCCTGCGATGTCTTAGGATGCCAGCTGTAGTCACGATGGGCAATCTGCCACACATGGACATCCACAGGCACAGCCTGGGGTTTGTCAAGGGCCATTAAGCAGATGCAGTCAGCAACCTTTGACAGAGAGAGAACTGTTGTGGAGGAATGGCAGGATTTGGCCAGCATCCAAAGCTATCTGCTTCCTCCTTCCTCTAAGGTAGCACTACTCTGCCTTCTCAGTCAGTATGCAGTAATTACCTACCACTTCTAAAAATAGCTCCAAGAAGACTAGTTCCTGAGTGAACGTATGTGTGGGCCGTACTCTCATAGAACCTGGGAAGAAAGTATGACCATACTCTTTTCACAGGTAAGGAAACTGGGGCTCTGAAGTGTCTTGGACAAAATCAAGCAGTAGAAATTAGGCAACGCCTAATGTAATGCCAGTCCATTACAAATTCATTAAGTCAATGGGGCTGGGGAGATGACTCAGCAGTTAAGAACACTGCCTTCCAGAAGACCTGGGTTCAATTCTCAACACCTGCATGGTGACTTAAACCAGCTGTAACACTAGGGTATGCATTTGCCATATGTCTGCAGGTGCCCATGGAGACTAGAAGAGGGCATGAGCTCCCCTGGAGCTGGGGTTAGAGGTGGCTGTTATAAGCCACCCGACAAGGGGGTGCTAGGAATCAAACTCAGGTCCTCTGGAAGAGCAGCAAGTGATCTTGACCTCTGCATCAGCTAGCCAGCTTCTGAAAATTCATTTTAAGCCACGGAGGAGTATAAAAAATAAAGATAAGTAATAAATTCTAATAGTCTGATAGATCTAGTGACATCAACAAAACATTCTGTAAGCACATGTAATTTCAAGAAAAGAAAAGAAAAAAGTAAAATAGAAACATCTTTCCAGTAATAACCTTCTGCCTCTTCCCTCTGGAAACTTCTGCATACAAACAGTGGCGCACATAATGCACTGACACAAAGGACCATTCTAAAGATTTATCCAAAGGGCAGCCTCTTTTTTGTTTTGTTTTGTTTGTTTTTTTGAGACAGGGTTTCTCTTTATAGCCCGGGCTGTCCTGGAACTAACTCCATAGACCAGGCTGGCCTCGAACTCAGAAATCCACCTGCCTCTGCCTCCCAAGTGCTGGGATTAAAGGCGTATGTCACCACTGCCCGTCTAGGGCAGCCTCTTTTATACTCTCTGCATTCTGCTTTTGTCTCTAATAAAACACATGCGACTCCTTCGTTCTTCCTGTTCTTCCTCTAGAAGCCATGTCTCCCCTTGATTCTCAGCTGTGCCTTGTTTCTACCTCTCCTGCTCTCAGTGTGGGTGAAGAGGGCACATCCTACCTCTCTGGGGCCTCACCTTGGTGCCTACACCAGGCAGGGTGCAGAGAGCCTTATGGGCCTCTTCATAAGGGGCCACTCGAAGTTGCTGCAGCCAATCCGGTCCACCTTGCTCTTTGAGGATAGCTTTGGCGCTGGCACATACATAGCGGGCACGGTACCCCAGGCCCAACTTCCTAAGGTGAGTCTCTACTTCTGGACCTGTGGGAGTGCAGAGGGAACAGCAGACGTCCTCAGGCTAGTGTGTAAGATGCTCCAGCCCAGTGCTCTCCTAGGCACTTCTTCCCTATTTACTGTCCCCTAGGAGTCAGTGGACAGCTGGGTGTGAAACAAACAGTTCAGGCCTGAGTTCTGCATCCACAGATGTCCTCTTAGCACCTCCTATCAGCTGGGCTCTGAAGCAGTGCTAAGGACCCCTGCTCTGGGGGAATCCCCATTTGAGCACTCTAGCTTTATTCAAGAAGCACTCACACCCATGGGCTACAGAGCTGCAGGAGCTTGGGTGATGGGCCAGCAGGTGACCAGCATAAACCTAACTACCTGAGTTCAATTCTCAGAACCCATGTAAAAAGCCAGATGAAGAGGCTCACATCTGTAATGCCAGCACTCGTAAGGTGAGATGGGAGGCACACACACTGACTGGCAAAGTACATTATGCTTGCTTTTCTTAAGGATCCTAATGATGGCACTATACACATTTTACAGATGGACAAAGTAAGGGCACAGAAGGGGCTACGTGGGCTGGAGACAGGGCTCAACAGTTATGACAACTTGTCGCCCTTATAGAAGACCAGGTTCCAGTTCAGCATCCACATGTTGCCTCACAACCATCTGTAACTCCAGTTTCAGGGGATCTGACCCTCTACTGACTTCTGTGGATACCAGGAAATAAACATTCAGGCAAAGCACTCATACACAGAGAATTAATTTAAAAAAAAAAAAAAACTAAACTAAACAAAACCCAAAAGCAATTGAAAACACCTGACACTGATCTCTGACTTCCACAAACACCTGCGTGTGTGCACTTGAACACATTTATGCACATATAACCATGCACTACGTTCCTGCTCACCCACTGTGCTGGTTTAAATTTGCTTGGTCCAGGGGGTGGCACTATTAGGAGGTGTGGCCTTGTTAGAGGACGTGTGTCACTGTGGGGATAGGCTCTGAGATTCTCCCTCTAGCTGCCTGAGGATGCTGAGGCTTCTCCTGTCTGCCTTTGGATCAAGATGGAGAACTCTTGGCTCCTCCAGCACTGTGCCTGTTTGAATGCTGCTATGCTTATTGTCATGATGATAATGGACTGAATGTCTGAACCTGTAAGCTAGCCCCAATTAAATGTCCCTTGTAAGAGCTGCCTTGGTCTCTTCTCAGCAATGGGAACCTTAACTAAGACACCCATCAACCCTACCCCTCCAACACAAAGAGAGGGCATGGTGGAGATAGGACGTCTCACCCAGGTGGAGGATAGCACCTGTGTTCTTAAATGCTTTCCTTTTCAATGTCTCACAATCAACTTATTGCCCCCCAAAACCTTCTAAATAGATTCTAATATTTCCATTCTATTAACAAGGTAAGCCAAGCTTAGAGAGGTAAATGAATTCCTTGAAGAATTATGATTTTTTTTTCCTTTTTCTTTTTTTTTTTTTTGATTTTCAAGACAGGGTTTCTCTGTGTAGCCCTGGCTGTCTGGGAACTCACTCTGTAGACCAGGCTGGCCTCGAACTCAGAAACCCGCCTGCCTCTGCCTCCCAAGTGCTGGGATTAAAGGCATGCGCCACCACTGCCCAGCAAGAATTATGATTATTAAGCCAAGAGAAAACACTCTAAACTTTTCTTAGTATCAAAAAACATCCCTTGTTTGAGAATGAACCAAAGCAGGCTCCTTGCTATTTAGTCCCTACTAAGCATTTCATCTAGCTTGGTCTTCATATCTGCTAACCATTTCCTCTCAGAGCAAGTGGACTCACTAAAGTAAAAGCAGCTTAAAATGTTCACATGTGCCGGGAGGTAGTGGCGCACGCCTTTAATCCCAGCACTTGGGAGGCAAAGGCAGGCGGATTTCTGAGTTTGAGAGTTCGAGGCTAGCCTGGTCTACAGAGTGAGTTCCAGGACAGCCAGGGCTACACAGAGAAACCCTGTCTCGAAAAACCAAAAAAAAAAAAAAAAAAATGTTCACATGTTTCCTGTTCCAAACACACTTGCTGGATGTTTATTCTGTCCTCATGATTCTGACAGGATATGTAATATTATTTTCCATTTCACAGATTCAAAAGAGCACACATGTAAGTGTCAGAAGCAGGATTCAGACCTAGGCAGTCTGTCTCAGATTATCTGCCTGTAAGTCTAAACTACTGAACACTGTATAGATGTTCTTCTAGTCAGGTACTGCACATGCTGGTGAACAGCCAACTAGTGAGATGCTGATGTTTCAGGGATCAAATCTGAAAATGAGTTGTACCTGGAACTGACCAGACTAAGTATGGTAGTTACGGGTGGAGACAGTGTTCGGCACAGTGGGAAGCTTTGAGATAGGAGCTCACAGCTTGGGTAGAACCAGAGCTTCTTATCCAAATGCTGAAGCGGACACATACTCACCAGCCAGGGCATGAAGGTCTGGGAAGCCATGGTAAGTGACATTATCAAGCTGAATGAGTCGAGGTCCAAAGGCCTGGCACAGCCGTTCCACCATGCCAGTGATGCGAGCAATGTTGTTGTTGGAGGAACAGATGAAAGAGAAAAGGCATTCAGTAGGGTCTTGTCTCAGCAGTCTCACACCTAGAAAGCAGAAAGGCAGGGGCCGGGAGACACACCTTGCATCCCTTTACATCAGACACTATGCCTTGAGGTTCCAAGGGGACCTGGAAGAATAAGGGACTGCTCCTGTCGAGAAATCACTAGACCTTTCCTGTCTTGTAGCATCTTGTGAGGTATGGGTGATCATCCCATTCCACTGAGAAAAAAAAAAGCCACAATGCAAACACCACATGAACAGGGCTTTGTTCTGTGTCCTTTTCTTTCTTCCCCAAAGAGTAAATTTGATTCAGTATATAATGACAGTGAATGATGTCACCTGCTCCAGGACACACAGTCAGGATTAGGCCCCATATCTTTATCAGTTTCCTGTGGTCATCATCATCATCATCAGTATAACAACAATAATATGCTAAGTAGCAGTCTAACCACTTTAATAAGCAGATTTTAATTCTTTGCTACTATCATGTATGTGAGCGTGGACACGGCCCATGAGCGGAGGTCAGAAGACAACTCTTGGTAGTTAATTCTTTCTTTCCACTATGGCTTATGGGCATTAACCTGCATGAAAAGTGCTTTTATCTGATGAACCACCTTGATGGCCCTGTATCTGCGTTTTACAGAGGACAAATGGGGTCACAGAGAGGTAACTTAACATAGGCCACCATTCCTGCCCTTGTACTCACCTTGGAATTCCTGGGCCACTCTTTGGAAGTGGGAGTCTACAGAAGCCCAGTGACTATATAGCTGACCCAGGCTGACATCTAGCTGGAAGTACTTGCGCAGGGCTTCCAGCTCCTCCAGGGTCGGCCTGCTGACCTGGCCGTTGTCTCCTCGGTACACGGTGCAATAGAGCTGATCTTCGGTCTGAGTCAGTGTCCATACTTGATCTGCCAGCACGCCACTCCAGTGAGCAGGGCTTTGCTCCTTCCATCTGGGCATCCCAGCAGACACCGTTACCGATCTTGAACTCTTTTTTTTTTTTTTTTTTTTGGTTTTTCGAGACAGGGTTTCTCTGTGTAGCTCTGGCTGTCCTGGAACTCACTCTGTAGACCAGGCTGGCCTCGAACTCAGAAATCCACCTGCCTCTGCCTCCCAAGTGCTGGGATTAAAGGCGTGCGCCACCACCGCCCGGCCGATCTTGAACTCTTTAAGGTCCCTCCTGCCTTACAAATGCCCCACCTGTAAACTGACTAATTAGTTATAAATAAAAGTAGTATGTTTTCACCTTAAAAATAAAAAAGAAGTGGTAATGGGGATTGAACCAAGAGCCACGTGCATGAACAGCAAGCACTCTTATTTTTTGCTTTGTTTTTCGAGACAGGGTTTCTCTTTGTAGCCCTGGCTGTCCTGGAACTCACTCTGTAGACCAGGTTAGCCTCGAACTCTCGAACTCAGAAATCCGCCTGCCTCTGCCTCCCAAGTGCTGGGATCAAAGGCGTGCGCCACCACCGCCCGGCGCAAGCACTCTTATTACTGAGCTGCATCTCTCGGCTTCCCCATTGATTTGTATTGCATGGGCCTCATAACCCTGCACACCGTCACCTCTACTACCTAAAAAAGGTGAACAGACAAACCACCGGTGCTTATACAACAAAATGTACTCTCATTCATTACTCCCAACATTCTCTGCATCCCTAGTGGGGAGCACTGAGGAGTCAGCATCCTAGGGAAGAGTCCTCTGAAGCGCAGTCACTCACCGGAAGGACTGTCCAGAAGCTAAAACCAGGTCCAGACGCAGCTCAGAGCGTGGACACGGGATAGAGGCCCAGAGGGCCGGGCTGGAGGTTAGGGTGCGATGCCTCATGCTGCTAGGCAGACAGGAACAGAGTAACATTTGGTTAGCAGTCCCCAGCCCATTAAGGCACAGTCCAATCAGAACTCGACTTTCACACGTCCTAAGGCCTCGCGCACAAGTGACCACACACACCCAGAGTGTAGCACCTTGGGTCCTAGATTCTGGATCTGGTGTAATTTTATTTTGAGTCACTGTTGAATTTGAGTCTCCTTTTCCTGGTAGAAAAACCTCCCGCACGCTACCAAAGCCCTAAACTACCCACTCGGCTCTGTTGTGGAGCGCGCCCCTCCTCTTCCTCCAGACGTGGCCCCGCCCCCTGAACCTCCTGGAGCGCGCCTCCTCCTCCTGCGCGGCCGTCGAGGTTTGGAAAGGCGCGCCAAGGTGGCTCTTCCGGGTCCCAGCTTACTCTCACCGGAAGTAGATCCTAGCTCCCGCTTATTTGATCCTAGAGGTAGCCAATCCGAGAAGAAAGTGAAAAGCACCAATGAGAACTCGGGAGTGGCAGAGTGGGCGGGCCTGTCTGAGGCGCCGGAGCGGTTGGCCTGCTAGCCTCGCTGCTCGTCGATTGGCTGCCCGAGGGCCGGCTCTGCCATTTCGGGGCTTTCGGTGTGATCTCAGGGCCTGCGACTTCTCGGGCTGGCCCGCTCTGGAGCCACATCCTTGCAGGGCGTAGTGGTACACACCGGTCGTCCCAGCACTCGGTAGGCAGAGGCGGGAGGCACGTTCTAGGCTTAAGTAGGCTGGGCTACATGGCGAGACTGTTTCAAGAAATAAAACAAAAGAATCTCATCCTTCCCCGCTCAAGCCTTTCTCCACCGAGTCTCTTCGGAGGCAGTGTGTGATTTGTCAGCGCTGTCCCCTCCACGTCCTGTCAAGAGGCCCCGAATGCGCCATCTCGGGCTTCTTAGGCTTCAGACGCCAGTCTAAGATTTGCTCGCCTCAGCCACAGCCTGCGGCGCAGCTACCCCCTCCAGTCTGAGCATGTTCTTTAAGTATACCTAATCTTTTGTCCACAGCCGTATAGACTAGGCATGTGTATGGGCTTTCTTTGTCGTTCACTGCGTCCAAATGCCAATGTGTAGACCCAGGCAGCCTAACGGACCAACACGGTCAGCACCAGCCACCTTGTTCCAAAAATGACTGTAACATTTATAATTTTTTCAAAGACAAAAAAGAATGCTTAGGCTAAGAAACATGGACTTTGGACACTAGTCTGACACACTAGGACATTTTCCATCGAGCAGAGGAAAATTTTCCGGTTGTACCTAAATTTTTAGACTACAGATTTAAGGGCAAGGCTGGATGCTGATTTATTTTCGTGTCTACAGGAAGGCACAGCACACCTGCTAGAGCACATTAACCATCAGCAGCAAACAAATTGGGTCTTTTGTCTCGATTTCATTGAGCAGTAGCTGTTAAGGCCTTGGGCACCCATGTTTTACTGTGATTACCTCATTTAAAAGCATGTCACCTTACAGGTGCCTGGCACTTAGAGAAGGTATTCTCTCCAACAAGAATTTAAATTAGAATGCATGCGTATTAACAGTCTTGTACTTTGTTTTCAAAGTAGGGGTTTCAACTCAAGTGCTTGAAGCAATCAAGCTATGGTCCTAACAAAGGACTCGAAGCACTAGAATCCACAAAAGAAATCAGCAGGGACACATCTGGTTTTAGCATGCCGGCTGAAGAGACCCTTTCCAGACAAATGGACCTAGGTTTAAGTCCTAGCTCTCCAACTTCTTAGTTGTAGGAACTGTGGCAAGTTAATTAATTTTTCTAAATCTTAGCATCCGAGGTAACTAACCTGTCATTAACACACCACATAATAACTGTAAAAATTACACAACAGTATATCTAAAGGTACTTAGTATGAGCCTGTCACTGTGGAGACAACCAGCCTATTACTAGCCCATCCATAGTTACTGCAGGGATTAGAAACAATTTATGTATTTTTAGGTACTTATTAGGGCAGTGCCTGACATTCAGTGCATGGGACATGTGAGCTTTTACTTAGCTTTAAGACGGGTTCTTGTTATGTTATTCTGCTTCCCCTTTGAACTCACGGCAATTCTCCTGCCTCAGCACCTCAGGTCCAGGGATTATAGGACTGTGCTACCATATCTAGCTTGCTGATATGTCTTAGTACTGCCATGCACAGCAGTCAGCAACCCCTTGGGCACAAAGTACATCCCAAGTATGAAGCATAGAGCTCTCCCTCTGAATCTCTCTGCTCTAGTAGAAGGCAAAAAGAAAAAAATTCTAAATAGACTTTATTTTCTAAGAATCAATATATTTTCTTCCTTTGAAATAAATACAAACCAGTTTGAAAGGTAGAGGGGATTCTATGGGAAAAAGAAAGGAAGTAGAGACAAGCTCCATTCTTTTTTTTTTTTTTCTTTTAGTACCAAATGACTCTGGCGCGACCCGGAAACGCAGTTACAAATGAGAATAATTTAAATTCTCCAATAATTACAGTATTTACAACAGCAGGGGAGGGGTCACCTAGTGCCCCTCTTCCAGGCTAGATAGACATCAATCCCAATGCTAGGCTGGGAAGATGCTGATTTACCTTACCACCTGCAAGGGCCTCAGGCCTCTAGGCAGTTATGATTCCCCTGGCATGAGCAGGTAAAGGGTGGTATGGCCTGTTTTTTACAGTATTCTAACTGTGGCCCACCACCCTGCCCTACAATGCCATGAGTTCTACAACTCTTTAGACCTGTGGGACCTCTCCTCTCCTTGCACTGAGTAGCCATGGGCCCTTGGAGTGTTTTGTACAGTCCAGCTGCACTCAGGGCAGGAGGGACCTCCCCTACCCAACTTCCCCTGAGACTGGCCCCAAGACCAGGAATTAATCAGTGCAGAGGGCGGCGTCACTCCAGGCCGATGAGCAAAGGGAAGGAGAGCCATCGACCCCTGGGCTCTGACAGCATCAGTCACTATCGCTGGTCTCACTGCTCTGCTCACCCTGCACCTTGCTGCGGTGCTGCAGAGCCCTGTGGTAGGCAATCTGCACTGACTTGCGGATGTTGGACTTCCGGCCCTCCAGCATCTTCTCTTTGTCTAGATCCTGGTTCACACCCAGAGGAACGAGTTTAGTCCGGGGCAGCCACTGCCTGTCAGACAAGGTAAAAAGATGAGATGAGGCATAATTTCAGGTAGAAATGTAGTAGCACTTTTGAACTCCAAGCATTTAGGAATGCTGGCTCTCAGCACCCCTGCTCTCAAGGGACTGACTGTGTAGTGTATTGGGAAGAATAGCCCAGTCAACAGTTAGACCAGGGGGAATAACTCAATCAGGAGAAACTTGAGGAAATAACATTGATTCTACAAAGGATTTACTAAAAAACTTGCTTAGGAAATACTAAGTTACATGAAGTACAAGCTAGCCAAAGAAGTTCTGCCTCCAATATGACTAGAAAGTAAGTAGTGGACTAACCAGGTGTGTTAGAAACTGTAGGAAAGAAAGTTTTGTACCAAAATTGCAGTCTAGGGTTGCTGAGAAAATGTTTCTGCTAATGTTTGCTTACCTAGATTGATATCCAACTAATCTCTATTCCCCAAACAAAAGGAGGCAACACTGACTAAAACCCAGCCATCCAGTCCATCTCCATATCAAAAAAACATGGCTCTAAGGTGGCAATGCAAGTGACAACTATTAATGGCATTCTGGTCTGCCACCATGTGAATTACTTATAAGGAATAGCACTTATAATTCTATCAAGTGACCAAGTTGACCCTAGGGAACAACAACACTGGTGTACTTAATTAATTCTAGCAATTTCTTTGCTGTGTAAATCTCCCTCCCATCTGCCCAAGTGGTCAGATTTGCAGTCTCCTGTCTCTGTTTACAAAGTGCAACCTGGGGGGGCCATGATCTGAAAGTTTTAAGGATGACTGTGTACATGGGATATATAAGCCTAAAGCATGCATACACACACACACACACACACACACACACACACACACACACACACACAGACACACACACAGACACACACACACAGACACAGGGAGAGATATGTAAGCTGGTAAAGTTTTGTGTTTGAGGCTGGTTCCTTTAGTGCCGGCACCAGTTGCATGCTATTATTAGAGACCCCTTCCCTTTATGAAATCTCAAGTGTGATGAGGTCTCACTGGGAAGGCATATAAATTCTACAACATACCACAGGGCATCTTATGGGTGCAAAAATCCTGTCCCAGCTGCTTTAGGGAGACTACAGATTATCATCTGTAGGCAATTAACTCGATTTTGACAAGAGGGATTTAAAGCTTAAATGTTTATGCTTGTTTTTCCTCATCTTGTTACTACCGAGGGAAAAAATGGAAAAAAATAAGTCTAGAAGCCATCAATGTGGGCAGAGAGCCACCCTAAACTTGTCAGTCACTGAAGATCCTTTGGTTTCTAGTCACAGCTGTTTGCCAGCTGCTGCCTACTCAGTCCATCAGACAAAGGACCAACACACCCTTTTCTCAGAGCTCTTCTAAGTGTGCCTCCTGATCCATGCACACTCTGTAATAGCCTAATCATTTGTTGTGTCTCTTGGCAGTCTGCTGCCACATCACAGATGGCTTTAAGGCACACCAAACACGCCTATCTTTCCTTACCAGGTTCGTTTGTTGTCAAAGAAGAGAACGAGGTAGAGGTGCTCTCGGGCTTCCTGTGTCATCTGTTCCCCAAGTTTCAGAACCTCCAGTGGTGGGACAGGGATAGGAACCCCATGGTGGAACATACCTTCTCGGGGCATCTTTGGATCAATGATCTGAGGGAATAATACAAGCCCAGTTACGTTTAGGTCACTTCCTCCCTGAAGCAAGCCCTATCTCAGAACTCAAAGAATATGTTACTGGGGCTGCAGTGTTGACCCATATTGTTTTATAACCTAGGGTGCAAAAGGAGATAGGGAGAGGTGGGAAACTGACTGGGATCTTTCTGAAGTACTCACATACACGCGTCTCCCAGTCTACCTGCTAAGAAGCCGTAGCTTGGCAGGGAGAGGGCAAGGCTACACTTGTGAATCAATCCCAGCCCTAGGGCTACAAAGCAAGGGGTAAGAACAAGAGAAACTGTAGGCCTACCAGAGCTGGGTATGATGGATAGCCTCGGCATTTGGCCCACACAAGGTCCAGAGCATCCAACGGGGAGTCCTCATCCTCTGACAGCCAGCCAGCTCCTCGACCCAGACTCTTTCTTACCACTTCACAGGAACGGGAGAGAGGGGGCGCATCAGCAGCTGGGGGGCCAGCAAGGCCTTGAAACTGGGTCCCCAGCACCCCTGACTTT